GAAATCTCTGAATAATGTAGCAATAATGTCAGTGAGAGAAGAACACAGGCTAAGGAGTGGAATGGCCTATAGAAAACAAGACTGCAGAATCTGCTAAACCAAGGCTTAAGGAAACTAAAGGTTTCTGGTTTATTGGTACACTTGCATAATCAAGTTTAACACAAAACCAGACTTTTCAAATAGAATCCTGAATAATAAGCAGGTTCTTGTTTATATTTGAAAAAAGCTCAATATGGGACAGCCCTAAGTACTTTATGCTGATTATTAATCCTGAGAGTCATCCAAAACTGCAGAGGTAATGATCCCCATTTTGCAAAAGTACAGAAGTTTAGAACTTGCACATTGTTATATAGCTATTAAATGACAAGAGTATTTTGTTTTGAATTTTCAGTGTTTTTCCTTTGTTACCAAATGAAATGTTTATTTTATGGTTAACACAGAAAAAAAGAGGATTAAGGATAAACATAAACGGTGTTAAGCAGAAGTCATGCCCAAAAAGCTCTGCTACAGACTTTCTATATCAATCACATTTAGTTATTGATTATCCTGTAGGATAAGCAGTGGACTGTTAACTACAAATCTATGATTCAATATCACCAGTCACTTTTCAGAAACCCTATACAGGGTCACTATTAGTCAGAACTGACTCAACAGAATTTAACAACAACTAGGGAAGGGTAAGGCAGAGACAACAACTATGGGATGGTAAGGCAGAGACAAGATTAAGGAAGAGAGGGAAGAATTTGTCTTCACTCCTTCTATTCTGAGCCAAGTATGGCCCTGCCCCTACGACTTATTTTCTACCTTTGTTTAAAACATTTATTTCACTTCAACTCAGTCACAAGGTACTGGCTGGGGAAGTTTCATAGTAACAATTCAGAGTGAGCTGTTATCCTCAGACCAAGACCTGCACAGAGTTTGATTTTACTACAGAGTCTGATTTTACCACATTCTGTCAAAAAGCATGTTAAGAGCAGCTGAGTGAGGAATAGGTTTAGATCTGCCATGTTACCCAATTATTGTTGCTGTTGTTGAGTGCCATTGAGTCAGTTCCCTCTATAGAGTGGCTGGTGGTTTTAAATCAACAACATTGAGTTAAGTAGTCCAGTGTTTATCCTACATCAGCACATTAGTACAACTCATGGTGACCGCATGCACAATGAAATTAAATGCAGTCTTGTGCCAGCCCCAAAACCAGTTACAGATTAGACCACTGTGATCCATAGGGTTTACACTGGCAGGTTTTCAGAATTAAATTATCAAGCTTTTCTTCCTAGTTCATCTTAATTTGTAAACTCTGGTAAAATCTGTTGAGCTCAAAACACACAAGCCTCTACTAACATATAGGTGGTGACTGAATGTAAGATATGTTGGCTGAGAATTCAACCTGCGCCTCCCCCATGGAAGGAGATCATTCTACCAGTGAACCATCACTATTGATTGACTATTTAAATCTAAAATGAATAATAAATAGCACCTCCTTCTTGCCAAGTTGTCATAATTGATGCTTTATTTTAATATCATTCATTATATTCAGAACATCACTGCCAACTGCAGACATGTACACAAGGGTAATTTTTATTACTTCAGAGTAAGTAAAATATAATCAATAATGAAATTATAACAATAAACACACTTTAAATATAAATATACACATTAATATTTCCACAAGTATAAAAATCATGCTCTGTTAATACTTTGTCCACAGACTATCATTGTGGTGTTTACATATGTTTCCTTAGTTATATTTTCAAAGAGCTTATGTATGAGCAATACATTCAAATTTTGAAAAAATATTAAGTATCACAGAGAAATTTTTAATATTGAATATATTTTGTGTTTTACAAAGAATGAGGAATTATTTATTAAATATTACAAACAGTGAGATAAATATACCTGCTTGTACATATGTACAATTTACTACTTTATACTTCAAAAATGCAATAATATATATTATATATATATATAACATACATATATATAAATGTAGCTTTAATGAACAATTCAATATTGCTCTTGTGTTGGTCTTGCTGTATTGCATGCATGCCCAGGGCACACTCATGGCTTTTCACTGATGGAGGAGGTTCCAGTAGGGACAGAAAGGAACTGATGCCCATCCCTGTCCCCACATTCTCATCTTCAAAGCAATGTTTTGAGTTCTATAATTTACTGTAGCTAGGTCAAAAATGTTTGTGCCTAGATACAGTGTAAATGCACTGTCAAGACCAAAACTACATATGGAGATGGGGTCATATGAGAACTGAAATCAGTAGCATGCATTCCTCAAGTCCTGAGTCAATTGAGGCATTTCTAAAAGCTTATTTTGAAGTGACTGCATTTTCAGTTCAGTTCATGGAAAATGATCTCAGTACAAAGGCCAGGGATTGAAGTTTCTATAACTTTCCTATAAAACTCAAAGGCAAAATATGAAAGATCAAAATGTTTACAGAATGAGATTTTATTTCAAATCATTACAATCTTTTTGTATTAATGAAGCTCTCAACCTAGCTGCTGATGAATTCACGGCAACTCATGGGGACTCCATGTATATCAAAGTAGAACTGTGCTCCATAGGGTTAACTATTTGCACAACCCAGGGATTCAGATGATGGTCAAAACAAAATATATTGTCTTGAAAGGGCTAAAAGCAATTCTGATCTGCAGTTAGTAGAATGGGGGTTGTTTGCAAAAACATTCACTTTAGAAGACTTATTGTTATTTGGATCAGTGGTAGATACCATATCTTACTGTTAGCAAAGAACTAACCCAATCTCTATAAACCCCACTGTGGCTATGAAGCTCAGTTTTTTTCTGCCATTTAACTCATCTCCAAATGACAAATTTATGACATCTGTCTGAGAATACAAACGAAAAAAATACAGGGGCCAGTTGAAAAGCAAATGCTACAGAAAATCCGCAAATAACATCTCACTGTGAAGGCTCAAGTCAGCCTTTTGTAACAGAACAGGCTTGTTTGAAGGTGCAACCATTTGGGTTTAAAGAGAGTCTCAAGACACTCCAGGAAGCCAGAGTCTCCACCACCACAGAGTCTAGGATACTTCCTTGACTCTTCATGAACATTCCCTATCCTAGGTAAAACCAATGATGGTTTGTTTTAGGCGGTCTCTGCAGAGAATCAGATAATCCCATAGAGCCAAATTGTTCTCAAAGTCACCTTCCACACACTAATGACACTTTGTTGTTGTTAAGTGCTGTTGAGTTGGTTCCCACTCATAGTGACCATATATAGGGTTTTCCAAGGAGCAGCTGGGTTTGAACTGCTGACCTCATGGTTCATACTCCATTGCTTATCTACAGTACTGACACTACAAGGGTGCAAATACATTTAACAAGAAAAGGCTAATGAAAAGTAGGAGATAGTGAAAGCCTTAATGTGCATAGGAGGATTTAGGTGTTTCAGTCCAAGCTAGGGAGGAGACAGCAAAAAGATATGAGTTGTTCTGCCTAGGGCTGGCACTGCTGCTCAACAGCCAATCAGCTATCTGTACAAATTAGTATTCCAGCATCCTTTCTTAACAGACGTTCCAACAAGAAGGCATTACAAGAGGAGGATCTCAAAGGGAGCCAATGTGCATTATGCTGACCAACCCACGTAGGAGTACTAAGAATCCCTATCACAGGGAAGTTCATGAAGCACAGCCACACTGGCCTCTAAGATGACAAAGCAACTAGCTGATGTGCTCTTCTAAGGCCAAAACAGCCACCTGCTAATCAACCCCTCATCCTGTTTGCCATGACAGTACACAGTGCTGGCAATGCCCATAATTTGAAGTATTAAAGATGCACAAAAATCACTAGGAAGAGATGATTATTGTTTCTAGAGTGGTCATTACATTCAAGATCTCTTAGAAGACACTTATAATGAAACATGCAAGATAATTTACTATTACTTGAATGCATTTTCCAGGAATATACTTCTGATATATGTACATCATCAAAAACACAATGAACAACTTGTTTCAAACTATTTTGTTAAGGTACAAAGTGCGGCTTATACATGTTTGTGTCACTTAGAAAAATGAATGTGCTTCTCATCATCAATGATCTTTGTTTCCTGTCAACTAACAGGATACAGTTAGAGTCATTTAAAAGAGGAAAACCATTTTGAAGGAAAAAAAATGTCTCAAAATAGCTACGTTATTTACTTTTATTTAAAATATGAGGGTTGAGAGAAAGTTACACTCCTCATCAACCAAAGGAAGGAACACACACATTTCTAAAGTCCACAACATGCAGGAATGCTATTGCAATGTTTCAGTAATTTCACAATATTTTCACTCCCAAACTAAAGAACTTCTGACAGAGAAGTACACACTTAGATAATTTATCTGTCTGTGTGAAAATGAGTATTCTAAACTTAGATAATACTTGCTAACTAGGTCTAGAGGAGGTGAGTACACTTCCTACTCCAGGCTATGAGGACTGTAAAAGGTCAGGTGAGTGTGAAAATGATCATCCTTTGGGGAGGTTGTGTGATTCTTTTTTAATCCAATTAAAATACTTTGAAAGGGAACATTTTAGCCTGTTCTTGTGACCTCCTCCTGCACATCCACTTCCTCAAAGACTCAATTCTGAGCTTAGAGAAATGTCTGGCGTTAAGTTAGTACCTGTATATCAATGTTTGCATGCTGTCACATGCATATAAATGAAATTTAATCCTCTTACCATTAGCCACTGTCATGGGGACAAGTTCTAGCACCTTCTAGAGGAGAATGATGCCTTCAAAAAGCAGCATCTCTCTCAGTTTTCTGAGATGCTGATCAGATTGGTTTTCATTGTGAATTCTAGAGAAGGGTTACTTATTGTTAGTGGTGTGGCATGCCCTTTAGAAGGAAAATAGGACATATCTCTGTCAAAATGCAAAACTTTACATATGGACATCATACATGCTACCTGACTGATAACTGTGGGTTTCACACTAGATGAGGGGAAATGAGGCAACTGGGGCCACACAATTGCTCCTCCCACTGAAAGAGCCCTCACATAACCACACATTTGCCTTTGAGCTTTTCTTTCCTTTTCTGTTGCTTGCTCTTTTTTCCGTCAATCTGTAGGCTCACGGTCCTGCGCTTCTCCAGGTTAAGCAGCTCTTGGAAGAGCTCCTTTACATTGTGGTTGAGCTTGGCCGAGGTCTCCATGAAGGCACACTTCCATTTTCGGGCCAAGGCTTCTGCCTCACTGCTCTCCACCTCTCGATTTGGGCTCTCATCGCACTTGTTCCCCACCAGCATAATGGGGATGCTCTCCACGTCCCCTTTGATCTCACAGATTTGATCATAGATGGGTTTGAGCTCCTCCAAGGACTGCCGACTGGTGATTGAGTACACCAGGATGAAGGCATGCCCTTTGGAGATAGACAGACGCTGCATGGCGGGGAATTGGTGGCTGCCGGTCGTGTCAGTGATCTGCAGTGTGCATATGCTCTTATCACAGCTGATGACCTGCCGGTAGGTGTCTTCCACCGTTGGTATATAGCTCTCCCGGAATGTACCTTTTACAAACCTCAAGACCAGGGAGCTCTTGCCAACACCACCTGCCCCAAATACAGCCACTCGGTAATCATTACTCTGTTCCGGCATGTTGTTGATGGACACCAACACTCAATCAGGAAACACCTAACAAAGGAAAAAGATGTTTAAAAGAATTACTAAAGACCTTCTGGAGAAGTATCCTTTACCATCTTTTGATAGCCACATTGCATAATGAGGATAACATTATCCTCATTATGCAATGAAGAAACTGGAATCAGAAAAAGAATATTATATCTGGGATGTTGTTACATAACCAAGATGAATGAGGATGAGCTGTAAACCAAAATATCACTGGGACCAAGGTCCATCCTACAGACTGCTATTAGAGAGAACCAGCCACAGTGGCTTTGTTATTATTCAGACATTGATGTGATTGACCTCCATTAAGTAGTAATAATTGTTAGTTCATGGGAATCTTGAAGTCATTTCATTTCATCAAAATTAAAGTTATAGTGTTTTACTTCTGAAACTCTTATATATTCAAGATAGTAATATATTATTGTTGTTGTTGTGTGCCGTGGAGTCAGTTCCAACTCATAGCGACCCTGTGCAGGATTTCTGAGGCTGTAAATCTTTATGGGAGCAGAACTCCACATCTTTATCTCACAGAACAGCTGGTAGTTTCGAACTGCTGACCTTGTGGTTTGCAGCCCAATTCATAGCCACTATGCTACCAGAGTATTAATGACCACTAAAATAGAATGGGGCTTCCCTTCATCACAAATATCAACCCCATAGTGCAAGGAGTGACTACAATTTCTTCATATATAGATTATCAAATATCTTTCATCCTTTCCTTTCATTAATGAAGATCCATGGCAATCCAGTTTGTTACATAGTAGGATTGTTTTTATTGTAGTCTCCATGGAAACAGATCACTAGATGTTGCTGCTACAGTACCTATTGAATAAATTCAAACCACCAACTTTCCATTAGTGTTCTTGTTTTTAGATGTCATCCAATCAGTTCTGACTCAGAGAGACCCTATGCACAACACAATGAACCAATCCTGTGCCATAACAATTGTTTTTATGTCTGTGTTGCTGTTGTTGTTAAATGCCATTGAGTTGGTTCCAACTCACAGAGACCCTGTATAGCATTTCCAAGGAGCATCTGGTGCTCTTTGGAATTGCTAAACTTGAGGAATCATATATGGCACACTCACAAAATATATAGAATTAAGCAACATCCAGTTGTTTGAACCTAAAGTAAATGAGGTAGTACAAACCATGTAATCCATTCTGTTCTCTAGGGAAACACTGTGCTGACTTTTCACTTTTCTTAGAAAAACATTAAAATAATCAAAGGTATCATTCAATAGTTATTTTTTGAGACCAGTAAAAAGTATTAAAAATAAATTTATAGGGTGACTTCCGGCGGCACTTCCCTGACCAGCAGGACAGGTACGTAAGCTTGGGAGAAATAGGGGGCAGGGTCACAATAGGGGCCCCAGCCTGGTAGACAGACAGCTTTTGGGCAAACATAAAACATTAGGCGGCAACTTTATGAACTTGATTTTTGAAAGAACTAACTATTGAGGAATTACGAGCATTTTTAACCCCCACCCGCCTGCTCCCGGCTCTTACAGGGGGAAGCCTCCGCCCACTGTAGAACCTAACAGGGCCTGAGCAGACGCTCTCAAAAGGAGGATGCTCTCAGAGAACCAGTGAGCCCACAGGAACCAACATAGTCCATCCCAGGGGAGTTCTCATAGCCACATTAGGCATTACTGGTGAATATATAGGGAAAATTGGGGGGTCCAAGGCACAGGGGGACAAAGAGGCATTTTAGACATCATCAAAAACAGACCCCATCTGCCTACAAGTATGAAGCCCAGTCCCCACCTCTTCAGCCTAGGTTAACTCTCTGCTCAGTCTCAGAGACCAGCCCAAGCTAAATAGCAACTCAATCCCAATAACAAAACACCCTGCTGTGGCTCAATCCGCCAAACCGCAAATCCTGAAGAATTGGAAGAATTATGTGCTGCAACTCCCACAGGAAACCATATACTGGCTAGTGGAGGATCATAACCCACCACACAGCATCTCAACAAGTAGCAAAACCTAGAGGGATCCAAAACAGAGTAATAACATTTTAGATTAACTGAAGAAGCGCAGAGGGCAGGACTCGCTGGTGGCTAGGGCAAAGGTCACTGGCAAAACTGGCTCGGAAGTCCGGAAAGAAAGGAGTCAAGACAGAGCTCCCAGATTCAGACCCACAGAGACAGGAGGGGTTTAGAGGCTGGGAGACTTGTAGCCAGTGGAACTTGGAGCAGAGGCAGAAGGGTGCGTTCCCTTAAGCCTGCTGGCCAGGCTAGGTGATCTGGGCCCACAGCCTGGGAGAGACAGAGTGTCTGGACTGAATAAGGGCCGCAGAGATGCCAAGTTGCAGACACGCTCCGCAGGAACATCTAAGGTGCTTTGCTGACATTGGGTGGTTCCGAACTAGTTGTTGTTGTTGTTGTTTCTCTCTTTGGTGTCAGGAGGGGGTGCACTCATGATTTGCCCACATACATCTGGGCTAGAGGAGGTAGGGGCTTAGCCGAGTGGCCGGGACCTGCCCCCACCCCTGGTGCTCTCCTCTGCCAGGAACACATGTACCTAGGCCAAACTGAGATGAGTAATTGGTCTGCCTTACTTCACAGGTTTGAAAGACAGCCCAGTGTAGAGCTGTGGAGTGGGGTGCTGCACTGCAGATTCCTTTGAGCAACAAGCCCGGTGGGATGGAGCCGGTGACTCATGCTCACCAACCATTCATAGGAAACCCCATACAGGAGACACGGCTGTGTGTCCTACTCAGTCGGCTTGCACTCACGGATTTGAGAGCCATCCCATTGTAGCACAGTGGACTGGAGTGCCACTCCAGGGTCTTTTGGTCTGCAGGGTCGGTAGCTGAAGCTCACGGGTCGCTCTTCGGAGGCCCTGTGTGGGGGACGCGGATACCCGTCATATGTGGTCTGCCTACTCGTTTTCACTGGTTTGAGAGGAGTCCGGCACAGCGCTGTGGGCTGAGGTGATGCACTACAGGGCCTTTTGAGCTGTAGGCCCAGCAGTTCGTGCCTGCCAGCCGCTCCTCAGAGACTCTATACAGGGTCACTACAGGTCGGAATTGACTAGACAGCACCTAACAGCAAGGAGAGGAGGGCAGAAGTGACTGAAAGAGAGGACTCTAAAAACATACACATATTAGGAGTCAGAATTTTCTTCTTTATTATTATTATTTTCCCCCATTTTATCTTACTTTACTTTTATGATTAGCACCTTTTTAAATTTTATTATATATATATATATTTTGTTTGTTTGTTTGTTTGTTTCTTTCTTTCTTTCTTTCCTTTAATTTTTACATAAAAAATTTGCGTACCTCTTTCTCTCATTTTTGATTTTGCTTCTGATCCTGATTTGGTTTTTGATTTTTACCCAACTTCAGTTGCTTGGCGGTTGCATAGCCTACTTTTTTGTTTTTGGAAGACACGTTGTCTCCTATATTACACAAGAAAAGTCAGCAACCACAGCCAAAAAGTCAAGCTGTAATCACACCTTATAAAATACCAAACCCAGGCAAGAACCAATACCAGCAGATATACACCAGGGAAACAGACAATACCTGTGAAAGCCACCCTGAGTTAAGCAATAAGAAGAGGGAAAAGAGAAGACCACACCCTGATCACCTCTCCCTGGAAACAATCATCAAGCATAGAAAAGTACCGAAATACATATTCACTTAAGTGTTAGACCCACAGATAAACAGTAAACATGCCCAAGAAGCAAAAACAGATGACCATAGCAGCACATGTCCAGAAAAAATATAAAATACCTGTTATATATGTTCTCAAAACCAACAAATATTTAAATTATTTTTGTAAAAACAACAAAAAAACAAAACTATGCAGAACAGTTCTACCTTGGTGCCCACGGGGTCTCTATCACTCAGAATAGATTCCATAGCAAAAAATGTACTCATGTGTGGTTTTCAAGATTATGACCTTTCAGAAGCAAATTGCCAAGCATGTCTTTTAAGATGATGCCCCTAGGTGGGTTTGAACTTCCAATCTTTCAGCTGGTAGTTGAGTGTTTGATCATTTGAAATGCTCACAGATATACATATAAACACACACACACAAGCACACACACACACACACACACACATATGAGGAGACTTCAAGAAGTTCATGGAAAAGGAAAAAATACAAATAAAAACATGTAAACTTTATTTCTCAACATAAAATACATCAAAAAATCAAGATACAATTGTAAGTGATGGTGCCTGAAATTTATTCTTCTCTAAAAAGCTGAAGGTCCTAGGAATTTAATCATGTCAATGCAGACTTTTTTACATTATTGACTGAAGCAAAACGGGTAACCATTAAAGATTTTTTAAGATTAGGAAACAAAAAGTCAGAAGAAGCCAAATTAGTACTTTAAGGTAGATGTCTAATGACTTCTGATCAAAACTCTTGAAAAATTACCCTTAGTTGATGAGAGAAATTAGCAAAAGCATCATCATGGTGGAGAAGGACACTGGCAAAGTTTTTCCCAGTGTTTTTCTGCTAAAGCTTTGGTTAAATTTCTTAAAACCTTCTCATAATAAACAGATGCTATAATTATTTGGCCCTCCAGAAAGTCAATCAGCAAACTATCTTGAGCATTCCACTAAAAAATGGTTGCCATTACTTTCATTCTTCACTAGTTTGCCTTTGCTTTGACTGGATCACTTCCACCTCCTGGTAGCCATTGCTTTGATTGTGTTTAGTCTTCAGGATTGTACTGGTAAAACCATGTTTCATCTCCTGTTACAATTCTTACAAAAAAAATTTTCAGGATCTTGATGCCACTTATTTAAAAATTTCAGTGAAAGCTCTGTTCTTCTCTGCAGCTGACCTAGACACAACAGTATTTGCAAATTTAGTTTGCTTAACGTTAATTTTTCAGTCAGAATTGTGTAAGTTGAAATATTTTAGATGTCCATAGTGTTGACTATTATTTCTGCTGCTAATTGTCAGTCCTCTCTAATAAGGGTATAAACAAAAAAACTGTTGCCTCCATATTGAT